CACGTTTAGGACTGAGTGAAACCGTCCGCTAGTGCTTTGTTGCAAGTGACGTCAGAGTTATTGCATAACTTATCAGCAACACCCACTCCACATTTGGTTTTGTTGACATTTCTCTCCACCTTCTGTTTTGTCAATGTTTTCATATAGTATTTCCATCATGGTGAAATGTTGACAGTAGTACTTTTGCTTTTTTTGGCTGTATATGAGGCCAGTATTACAACTTTCTGAAATAAAAAGATTGTACTGTAACAGTTCTCTGTTTTAAAGTTACAACATTTCATTTGGAATTTCTGCTTTGTTCTGTGTACAGCTGCTGTGCTGGTCAACTGTTGCTCTGTTAGCAAGTGCAACATCAGTTGGAAACCGTTAAACCAATTGTTGACTATCATATCCCAATTAATTTGGAAGTGAGAGCAACAAGTGTGTTCACAGTATCATTCAGTTGATTATGAATAAGGACATGATGGCTGAGTTCAGGATAAATGTCTAAATTGAAAGTATAGTAAGTCTTTGCATCTACAAGGGCATAAATTTTTATGCCATACTTTGAGCCATCACATTTCCATGTCTTCTGCGATCACCATGAGAAATCTGCTAGGTACAGCAGGCCTGTGATTGCAGTTTAGCCAATGAGGTGTCATAATTGCATTTGGAATATGGCTATTGCTGCATATCGAAATTTTTACTTGCATTTTAACATTTGTGTATTTTATAGCATCTTACATCATTTTGTCTGTTACAGTTTCCAACAGTGGGTGTCAGTGCTGGAACTCTGTTTCACCCCTGCCAAGACCTTCACTATATTTTTGGACCTAGTTCTAACACTTTCATTATTTGGCCATTTTACAGCATTTAGACAGTGTAGTTATTGCTAGGTTTTTTCGTCATCTGAATGCAGGAGATCTGCATTCCCTGAGTCTATACAACAGTTGACTCTTGTTCCATTTCACTGTCACAAGGACTTTGGTTCACATGGCCATCGTCAGCATCTACTTGCACCACTTTTCTGTTAAGAAAGTATGAGTTTTACCATAATGGATCATCATCCATGCACAAATAATCTGATGACTGAGTTTTGATCTCCAAAACTTAAAAATTTGTTTTTTCATGTGCCATTGGACTGAATTGGGTGACTTCTACTAGGAAAATGAAAAAAATTAAAACAAATCCTGGAGTTGTGTGAGTGTACTGGACTTTCTGTGATGCTTGTATAAACATTCAAAACCAGTTATATGGAGCATATAGTTGGGTCCTGTCTTGACACTTTTGCACATGGGCCCTTTGAACCTACTTTTACATTCTGAGGGCATACAGTTTGGTGTATTAAAGAACATTTCAATTAAAGCAAGTCTTGGGCCAGCCAGATAGCCCAGCAGATTAAAGTGCCTGTTTAGGCAGGCACAGGGACAGAGGTTTGATCCCCAGCATGCTGTGCTGACTCTGCCCACGGGGTATGCTGAGATGGCAATTGAGACTGGGCGTGGTGGTACGCGCCTGTAATCCCAGTGCTTGGGAGGCTGAAAACAGGAGGATCACTACCAGTCTGATGTGTATAGTGAGACCCTGTAGACCCTGCATTAACCATATTAAAAAAAAAAAAAAGTATGTCGTGGTATCTCCCCTTTATTGCTTAAGTGTGCCCAGGGTGGGGAGAAATTGGGGTTCTCTTAGCACATTGGTTGGGAAGTTACCTTGTACACTTTTAGGTAAGACAATTCAGATGATAAATTTGTTACATTGAAGTACATGGGAGTATTTCCAATTTTAGGTATTTTTAAATGTATTTCTCAATTATTTGGAAAACTCCCTTTAGTGAATACTACTCTTTTTTAAAAGCACTACATTGCCAGACAAATAATGTACTGCATTTTATTTTTAATACTTTTTTTTTTTTTTTTTTGCGGTACCGGAGGTCGAACTCCAGAACTTGCACTTGCCAGGCAGGAGCTTATGCCCCAGCCCTTGCATCATTTTTTAAAGCAGACTGAACATTTGAATTATTGGAGGCCTTTTATAAAAAGTACTTACTGTATAAAACATTTAATAGTAGCCCTGCCAGTATTTTGCCTTACTTTGGTGTTAGCTTTAAATTGATGACTTCAATTTTTAAACAAGATCTGGGTATTGTACTTCTTTTATTTCTCAATGTAGTTATTGTGCATGTTACAGATGATACATGAATATGTAATCCTTGGCTTAGGAAATACAAATTAGATTATTTAAACCTATTTCTTTTCTAATCATGAAAATTTGTGATACAACATTTTAAAAATAGAGAACAAAATATGTATCAGTATAATACATATAACAAGAGTATCTGTGGTATCCTTGCAGCTGTTTCTTGGGTCTCGTAAAAATATTCCTATGCCTGCACTCAGAGTGTTTAAAAGATGCTTGTTTGGATGAATCACAGCTGTCAAAGTAGGGAGGATGTAATCATTAACAGAAATTTTCTGTATTAGTTGAATGTATAGTGTCAAGAGAACAGCTTTTACACAGCTTTACTTATAATCAGGGCATGTAATACTTTCATGAATTGCAGACAGGAAGGCTTTATTAAATGTCAGAGGTGTGAAGTTTTATACTAAGACTAAGCAGTCAGCACTTTAAGTTGATACAAAAAATGGTATTCCATAAAAGAAATGATCAGTCATTAGATTGCACTGGTGAAAAGACAGCTTTGACAAGCAACATAGTCGAGTGGAGTGGACTCCGGAACCTGTTTCCTTATGTGCAAAATGAGTTTACTCATTTCGCTGAGTTGTTGAATTTGGGTGAAATGTTTGGCACTTAAAGGTTCAACCATCATTTTTGTTTCATTGATAAGATTTAGCTGAGTCTCTTGGAATGCTTGAGAGTTACATTTCATTGTACAAGTGTAGTTATATCATTCTTCATAAGCAATTTTAGAAGGAGCTTGCTTGTGTGTTAAAGTGTCATAATCCCAGGTCATAAACTAGGGTGAGGTGGAATGTAATCCATGCATAGTCTTAAAAAGAAATACTTAATTCACAGTTAGTTGGAATCCTGCTAATTTGAAATAACATCTTGCCTTTTCCATTCTCTCAAGTAATGGTTTAAACATTTCCTTAAAGTACACAGAATTAAAAATAATTTTTCTACTTTGACGATGTGACTTTAATATTAACAGTAAATTGGTAACAGTAATTGCAATTACTTTGGTATCCACAAGAGGGAGAGCTTATACTTAGTAATAACCTTAGATTTTTTATAGTTTTAGTTTTCAATTTAGATGACATTAAAAGCAAAAGACAGAAAAACTAGATGTGTGTTGAACTCCATGACCTAATTTTCAACCTAACCTTTTAAGTGGTCTTCATTAAATTGACTTGAAAAATATCCATTAGACACCTGATGCTTTTACAATTGTTCCTTTTCTGTTTTACGTTCCTACCTCCTTTAAATGATTAGATGTGCTTGTTACTCTTGTACCTAATACCTCTCATGCCAATAATAAACTTTTTAAAACTATACTGGTCACATTATGACTGCATGAACTAGCACAGCTGTCATATAATTTGAGTAACTCATGGAAAGCATACTGAATGACCAAAATTGCACTAGGAACCAGCAGCTCTCTTAGCATCTTTCCACTTAAAACAGGCTCCTTTGTAAAAACATCCTTTTGTAGTGAACATCTCAGATGTTAGCTGGTAAGAGTTGATTAATTTTTGTGAGATAATTATTTCACACCTACCAAAAACTTGCAAAAAGCTCTGTGATTTTTAATACACTGAGTTAACAAGTAACATTCACAACATACTAAAACAAGAAGCATTTTCTCCAAAGCAGTAGAAATTATACTGTACTACTTACATTGAATGAATTTTAGCCCTCAGTAGAATTGAAGTATTTCACAGAAAAGGTACTAATCTTACATAACTCAAAAATAATTAATACATCTGTTGCTCTTCTAATAGGGTATTTAGATTTTTCAAAGGGTTATCCTTTAGTAATTGTTTTATTTATAGCTGAACAAAACGTGGTGACACGTTTGTTTAGTTTGACACTGATACCCCTACAAAGCAATACTGGCAATTTCATTGCTGAGAGATGGTATATATCTTGCACAACAAAATGAGAATGTGTTTTGAAGATTTAAATTCATTTGGCAGTTAAGTTAAAACCATGGATGTCCAAGTAAAACTACTGAAAATTAAACCTTTAATAATTAGATTTAAAATAAATTATGGTTCCTAAGATAGTGGAGGTAAGATACTTTTAATTATACAAATCTGAAAAATACTTTAGAAGTTCTGTTTCATGTAATTCTCTCTAGCTTCTTTTAGCTTATGAAAAAAATCTGGCTTTTCATATCTTGTGCTGTCATGTCACATCGGTTTAGAACCAACAGTATGAGACAGCCCAGTCAAACATAAAAGAATTTAATACATGAAACCTAAATTTTAATGTAGACTTAGATATACATTCTGCAATTGATATATCATTTCTGCCCATATCAAAACCAAACATGCAAATTTAAAATGCATGAATATATGAATATAACTTTATCCTTGTACAGATTTATGAATGAAGAGCGTATTCTTACTCCTTAATTATACTGAAACCACAGCACAGTATAGGCTATAGTAAAATCTCAGGTCTGAGGTTTGTAAGAAATTCAGAAGTCACAACAGATTATCACATAGTACATGATGATAAAAATAAGGACATTGTATCTTCACTTACTATAATGTCCTCATTAAATCTTTCAGTTAATTTACATTATCACTAAACTAATTGGAACAGAAATGTCGCTCACTTTTTTATCTGACACAGGGTTTCACCATGTAGTTCAAGCTGGCATTCAACTCACTTTGTAGCCCAGGTGACCACCAACTTCAAGCTGTCCTCCTGTCTCAGCCTTCTGGTGCTGGGATTACAGGCATCTTCTACCACACCTGACTTATTTCTAAAATTACTCCTTTTCTTGCATGAAAAACGATGGGTATTAACTTTTTTTTAACCCTTTATTTCAGTGAGAATATGCAGCATGCATACTGGGAACTGAAGAGGGAGATGTCCAATTTACATCTGGTGACTCAAGTACAAGCTGAACTACTGAGAAAACTGAAAGCCTCAACCACAGTCAAAAAAGGCAAGTCAGTATTTGCCGGAAACCACTGATTCCAGCCAAACTGCTTGAAGAGCAACTAGCTATTGTATCTTATCAAAATCTCATCAAACAAGTTTGATAAGAAGTATATATAGTCTATCCACAGCCTACCCATTATTTTCTTTGGCTTCAGTCTCATATGGTCAGCTTCACACATAGAGGTGTTGCTGATGTGTTTTTTTCTTCAGTACTGTATTCTTTTTCCCTTGTGGCTTTTCTCAGCCAAGTGTTGCTTATGTGTATAAGGGTGAGGTGTTAAGTTTGCTCTACTTGACCTTTTACCACAACTACTTTATATACTTAAAAAAACAACAACAAAAAAAATCCTAAAGCAATTTTTAATGCCAGTGCTACTGAATAAATGAAGACCTTGCTTTTTGTTTTTTCAGAACAATGTTATTTCACTATTTAGATGTTTGCATTTTTAGTTATTTTTCACAATAACTGAATAGGAGGGAAGCTAGATGCTTTTCCTTCATCCTCTTAAAGCAGAAATTTTAGTGGCTTTGCATTCTGTATTTAACCACTTCCTGACTAAACTTCTCGAGTTTAGGGTTACAGGTAGCAGTGGCTAAAGCGTTTTTAATTTTTTATTTATTTATTTTTTTGCGGAACCGGGGATTGAACTTAGGCCCTTGCGCTTGCCAGGGAAGCACTTAACTCCACTGAGCCATCTCCCCGGCCCTAAAGCTGTTTACCTTGGGAAAAATAGTACATTTTTGTCTAATATTAGATAATAGATTTTATTTCAAAATAGTTGTGCATTATATATTTGAATGCCTTAAAATTTCCTTTTTAATGGAATTGTAGGATAAAAGATACCACCTAGTTTGAAATTATTATTTTCAACTCAGATTGTTTTTGTTTTTTCTTCCTGGATTTAGGACAGGGTCTACAGAGTGTTCAGGGTCTCACTACATAGATCCGACTCATAATGATTCTCCTGTTTACAGCATCCCTAGTGTGGGGATTACAGGCGTGTGCCACCACGCCCAGTCTCAGTCACAGTCTCAGGGTGCCCTGGGGGCAGGGCCTGGCACAGCAGGCCATGATCAAACCCTGGCTACTGCATTCTGCCTAAGCAGGCGCTTTAGTCCACTAAGGCATCTGGTTGGCCCTCCATTTCAGATTGTCTTGGAGAGCACTAGAGAATTATTTCATAAATAGTTTTCCTGAGGCATTTTTTTAGGAAAAATATTGCATGTGGGGAAGAAAAGTTATAGTCAGTTTTCAGTATGGCTCTTTGGTCAAGTAGTAACTACAATTTCTAAAGAATAAAAAGTTCTTTCCACACTTAGGGGTAGTTTATCCTGTGTTCCTTGTTAGTTGGTTGATGATACACCTTCTGATGCTTTGGACACCAACTTTTCTGACGCATCACACAGTGCCAGACACAAACCACCATTTCTTACCACAGAGTTCATTATTTTGTAGGAAACACACATAAAATCATAGATCACTGTATTTGACCTACATATCATCTTTGTCTAGAAGCTACACCTAATTACTTCCAATTCTAGTCTATTTCTGTCCACCCACCCAAGGAAAAAAACAGCTTATTTTATAATACAGTTCTGTTTGTTTCCTCTAAAACTACAAAGAATCAGTTAGTTACACTTAACTATCTTTGGGCTAAAGTTAGTATTATCTTCCTACTCTGATTAACATTGAACTAGTGATACAGAACCACATATTACTAATGTTGTAGACTTAGTCCAAGCCACTCCACATACACATTTTTTTACTTGCTATTACGATCACAGCACATTTTACAAAATTTTAAGTAGATTTTACAATTTCTACTTAAACTGCTTTCTTTGAATATATAAAACAATATCAATTATTTCTCAAAAAACTTACTTTGGACTGCTTATGGAGAAAATGTTAGAAGAGAAAACAAATATTCTATTTAAAACAAATTTTAAAGAATAATTTTCTTAGCCCCCACTGACACATTAATGACCTGTGGCCTCACTAGCCAGATTAAGCACCAAGAATGAGATCTTTCTTTACTGATTTACAACTTTTTTAAAAATGTAGCTCATCTTTTAATACTCTGTGACTTAGGCAGGGCAAGGACAGTAACATCAAAAGCAGCTGAATCACTAGACCTTAGATCATGCATAATATATATACAAGACACACTGTCCTTTGATTGTACTAACGTAGAAATGTATCAGTGTTCAGCTAGATTTAGTGAAATGATATTCCATGACTACAAATGCCATGAATACTGATATTGATTCTGAGCTTTTTTTTTTTTTTAGCTTGCACCCCACTTGGATGCATGGAAGACCTGGGGAAAGACAGCACGAAACTGCACTTGACAAATTTCACTGCAACATATAAAAGACATGGACCACCCTCACCAAATGGCAAAACTCTTTGTCACACCTCCCCTTTACCAGGAGATATAAAGGTTTTATCAGAAAAAGCAATTCTCCAATCATGGACGGATAATGAAAGACTGATTCCTAATGATGGTACAGACTTTCAGGAACATAACTCTTACGGCAGAAATTCTCTGGAAGATAATTCTTGGGTATTCCCCAGCCCTCCCAAATCAAGTGAGACAGCATTTGGGGAAACTAAAAGTAAAACTTTGCCTTTACCCAACCTGCCACCACTGCATTATTTGGATCAACATAATCAAAACTGTCTTTATAAAAGTTAATTCTGAAGAGATTCATATTTGATCATGAGATCATTGTATCTCAGTGGTTCTCCCAAGAAATTATTTAACAAACTGAAAGTGGATTTTGATTTAAAGTTTTGCAGTTCTTCAGTATATACATTTCAACATAAGGTATGATAATTAGTTGATTTCTAGTATGAAGACTACTCTTCAGCTGTATATTCTAACTACTAATGAATAAATTTAAGGTGTTTAAAGATAAATCTTGCCATTGATAATAATTGTGAAATCTACTACCGGTAAAGAACAAAATTGGAGATGTTTGGGCATGGTTTGACAAAGTGTGTAAAATGTCTAAACATCCATTCATAAAAAGAAAAGCCTTTATTATAGGGGAAAAAAAACCCATGTGCTTTGGTTCAGATTGCATAAAGAGGCAAACAACAATGTGAACAGGTTATATTTGTTGACTATGATGCATAAGATTATGAAATATAATGGAATAAAAATGTCTAGGTTATTTACATCTCTGTTGTGTTCCTAAGTTTGAGACTTAGTCATTCTTTAGTCACAAGTTTTGTAGATAAAATACTAAACTAAAATTAGAACATGAAAACTTAAATTACTTGACCACCTTGTACTAGTCATTGAAGTCCTAAATGGTAAAAATAATAAAAGGATGAAATAATTAAAAATTATATGGTATGTGAATAAACTATTGTAACTTTTATACCAGTTTGAAAGGACATCTCATAGATTTCAGTCTATTTTATCCCTTCAGTGATCCATGAATACATGTAACTAACATTTTCTTTAAAAGGAGTACAGTTGTCTGTTATATGAAGCAGCTTGTAAAACTTTGTTCTGAAATGTAGTACTTCAGAAACTTTTTTTTTAAACTGAGTTAGGCATTTTCATCCTATAAATTATATACTGTGTTGATACTGTACAATTGTGACATGGACCTAAACTCATTCTAACTGGTCAATGATTTGTAGATAGGATATAACAGAGATGGCTTCGCATGGAATGTTATATAAACTATTTCAGAATAGAGGCATTAGGAATATCAGAAATAATGTTAATAGTGTTAATAGTACATTGCTTGGTTCATAAATCTTTTGCCTGGGATAAAGTATTTCAAACAGGAAGACTGTCCTTAATGCAAGTTTTATATATCTTGAACTCAAATCTCAGATCTTTTCTATATTACTAGATAGCATACATAGACAGTGTTCACTGTTCACCACATTTTTATCTTTCTATTATCTCACTTATTCAAGCTTGTCTGTGATTAATGGAATTGATGTCAGATTCTGGAATTTATTCTGACCAATGAACACAGCTGACTCAAGGGAGTACAGTCCTCCTGCCAAATAATAGAACAAAACTCAATATGCATAAAACAAATGCAAGACTCCAGGCTTTAGCTGAAGGAAGCAACTACCTGTATAATAACCAAGGCAGCAAAAGCTATTTCTCATGTGGCTGCATAGGCCATATATTATCTCTAATCCCTACTATAGCTTACTGGTTTGACCTCTTAAAAATAAGATTGGAATTTTTCCTTTATAAAGAAAAGTCTTAGGAGACAATGGCTTCATTAATGTTTTGAACAATGCTAAGAATTAAAATTACTTTTGTTTAAAATGGAAATGACTATGAAATATTCTCCTTGCCAAAATACAACAAGGTCTGGTAGTAATTGTTATTAATTTATTTTCTCTAACAATGCAGTCTTGATAAACTGCATTACTTTGAGTGGAAAAAATTTTGTTTCTTGACAGTTTAAAGGTAAATGAGGTGAAAGAAGACTTCAATAAGAAACTATTAACCAAAAATATTTTTATCCAGACAGAAATTTAATAATCTCTGTCATCATCACATTGAGTAAGAAATGACTGGCACATCTGTAATTTAAAATCTATTTAAAATCTAAAATTTTATGTTGACTTCTTTTACATTAGCCACAACTTACTCCAAAAAGCTTCCCTTAAAATTTTCTTTAACATGCTCCTATAATCCCAGCATTTGGGAGGCTGGAAACAGGAGGATCACTACAGGTCCAATCTATGTTAGTAAGACCCTGCACACCCTGTACTAAATACATAAAAAAATGTTTTTCTTTAATATATATTTTCTTTTTATAAAATAATTCAATTCACTTCCATAATTCAAATCATATGGAGAATACAAATAACAACAACAACAACACACCTGTGGCTTTCACACTTACTACTTTGAGGTAACATTTATATCCCTAAAAGGAAGATTCTCTTATTGCCAAAATGGAACTGAGTTCATATGTAGAACATGTACGTATCTCTATGATA